GCGAGCCCGCGCGAAGCTGCACGGCGACACAAATCCATGCAGGTTTGCTTGCAATGTTACATCTTTGCTGATGAGAATGGTCTCGAACCTGGCCTGTTAGGTGCGCACGCTGCAACGCTTCCACCCGCTTGTCGGCTGCAGCTCTGAAACTGAAGCGGCAACTGCGAAGGCATGCAAATGTAATCTGTTCTGATGGCACCTTCTGGTAGGAAGGGGCGGGGGGGCACCATATGGTGGGGGGGGGACCATAGGTAGGGGGGGGGGGGCCCACCTTGTTCAATGTTGCAGGACCTTGTGGGGGGGCCCCCGTCGGCAAATACTGGCGGCGGCGGCCGCTGCGCAGAAAAGAGAACAACAAATACCCCAAAATACCTGTGCGCATAGCCATCCCCAGGTGAAGTGGGAATTGATTTCTACCAAAACTATTCGCATTTACACACAGGGAGGATGACACACCCCACTTCGAACCAAGCCCACCCACGACTCCTACAGGGGCGGCTGAATTGAACCCAAAACCACCCACAATTGCAGGCCTACGGACCAACCCAAACCCAAACCCACCCACGTACCCGTAGGGGGAAAGGGGACTGTGAGTTTTGTTCTTCCCCCCTTTCTTTGGAGAGGGGGGAGGTAGGCACCGGGGAGCGCATGAAATTATACATATACATACAAATCCATCTGCATGCATGCATCGCCACGCATGCAACCACAATATGTTCATACATACATATCTATGTATGTAAGTATGTGAGTATGTATGTATGTTTGTATGTATCCATGCATGCATGCATGCATGCATGCATGCATGCATGCATGCATGCATGCATGCATGTATGTATGTATGTATGTTGCATACAGATACGTATCTAGCTATCTACCTACCTGCCTACTTACGTCAAGTCCTAGTCATGCTTTTTTTCGCTAGTTAGTTCTCTAAATGTGCGTAGTATGATCATATAGGTAGTATGATCAATGATCATATATATATATGTGTGTATGTATACATATGTGTATGTATACATGTATGTATGTATGTATGTATGTATGTATGTATGTATTTATGTATGTGTGTATGTATGTATACGTATGTATGTATATATATATACATGGTGTGTATGTATGCATATATTATGGATCTATACATACATGTACATATGTGTGTGCGCATGCATGCATGTAAGCATACACTATTGCTTACGCAAGTATCTATTCGTCTTAGTTATTTGCTCGTTTTGCTGTTCATTGTTTATGGTTGTATCCAAATTTCCAAAACCACTTGGAAGCCGTCTGAATCCCATCCGCAGCCTCGAGCCCCTTCAACTTCTTTCCGTTCTCTGTGTGGTGATGGCCAAGTACCGATGGAGCCCAAAATATTCAACTAACTCGTTTCATGCTTAAGGCATTTGTCTGATATGCCATCATCAGGACATGTGAACTGTCCATACCACAACTGCTCATGACGCAATTTACTTCATGCCTTCGTGCGTTCGAGCGGCACATTCTTGTTGATACTCTCAGCTGAAATGCTCGCCACATCCGCTGCATGAGTCAGCAAGAACTTGACTGGAATTCCTCGCGCAGCACAGATACGCAGACAGACTTATCAAACAACTAACTCTGCTCAGAGTTAATGCTGATGTGATCCTGTCTGTGCTTGGCCAGCTTCTTGTCGATCGTCAGTGGAAGAAGAGTGCAAGACCCGACCGTTACAATCTCAGGAGGAAGTCCATGGGTAGGGAACTCATTGCGGGCCCTGCGCGACATTGGGGCTACTGGTACCAATGGACCCCTTTCAACTCTCTGCCGCCTCGCATGGTGAACTCGAGGCCGGGAGCTTGTAGCAAGCCGTCCCCAACAGCGGCACGGAGGCCCTTCGACCAAAGACAGGTGCACTGACAAACACCTTTCCGTCTGTCAGACACAATCCTGCCTTTGCCTCGCCTTGCAGCCGCAAATCCAAGACCTGCAGCTCTGGAACTCAACAGACACAAACCCGAGGCCCGCTCCCCCGCCTGTAGCAACTCAGAAAGATCCACAGAGCCAGGCACCACATAAAGCAGGTCCAGCACCTCTGCGGCTCGCTACTATGCCCGCTACTCTATGCCCCAACAAGGTTTCTTGGAAACGCTTGGAGACGCTTCGCGCCGCTTCGCTTCCAGGCCTCACCGCTGTGAAGGACCGGAAGCGTCCCAGTCCCTTCTCCTTCTGCCGAGATCTGTCGCACGCTGATTGGGAGAAGCTCCCCTGAGGCTCAGCGGAGCTCCGCCAGAAGGACAGTGCAACTGCAAGTGGCTGCAAGCAGGAGGCGATGGACTGGTTCGAGAACATCAAAGGTTGACAAGCTCTCGTGGCAGTACTGGAGCAACTTCTCCTGCGAAGCTGTCGCTTCTGGCATTTAGGACAGCAGTGTGAATCTGGGCGCCACTCTTGCAACATCCTGAAGCAGCAGTGCAGTCGATTGAGCGGCTTTGTCTGCCTGCAGGCTGCAAAGCAAGCAGCAGATATTGCACGTACACGAGGGGCGGCCTCACAGTGAAAACGCATGGCGAGGCAACATGTACCAATATACCAGAGATCTGGCCGGCTAGAAAATGACGGACCTTTTCAGTTAGAACCCAAAACCATTCCAAAATGTAAATGAGACGCTGAAGCCTCTCCACATGCACTGGGAGACATGGAGATGACTTTTCAACCTCTAACTATCAAAAGGGCGGCCATGTTATGACACTCGTATCTCACTATCATTATTATATATTATTATCATTGCGATGGCTGTGTTGACCTCTATCCCCAGCCGCACCGACTGCGCAGAGTCGGCATGCCCCTCTATGTCGCAACCACGCCGTGCGCCACACGGAGCGCAAGCCGCAGCCCAGAGGCCCGATCCCGAGAGGCATGTCACCTCTCGCCCTCCTCGCCTGTACCTCTTGCGAATGCCCGACTGAACCATGCCCCCGACTTGCCCAGCTGCAGGCACGGACTTTGGTCCCACCAGAACCCATGAGAACCCAACACCCCAGGTGCTTTCTGGCTACTGAAACGTCATCTGTTCGTCGAGAAAGATGCAACCAACCCAGCCGGAGGTAAGAAATTTTGGAGAGTACCCCCAGAAAACAGCTGGCAATCATAGTGTAAAAGGGTTACAGTTGTGAAACACGACTGCCCGAAGTACACTGCGCAACACATTGCTGTTCAAGCTCCCAGGTGCTGTCGTGGGTACACGAAAACCCACACAGGCATGCTAGGCACTCGGCTGTACAGCGCATGCATGAGCGTGGCACAAACAAACTGAGGCCTATGTGCGGATGCCAGAACGATATGGATTTCACAACAGTTGTTGCATGCGGCTTCTCCAGACATCCTTGCTAGGCTGTTCGCAACAGTATCACACGAAACGCACCACTCGATCAGTGTCTTGAAGCGGCAAGTTTATAGAACTACGCCTCGTTCAGCTCAGAGAAGCTGCTGTGGCCACCAGTCAGCTCGCAGACAGTCTGAGGGTGGCAATGCCCGAATGCAGAAAGGGCAAGGGCTGAACATCGTTTGCGATAACGAGAAGCAGTAGACTGTTCGGGGTGGCCCGAAGCACCGCTGAAAGTCGCCAAAAAGAACCGACAGCTGAGGCTGGAGCCTGGCTCAGGCTGCCCATCGGCCTTCAAGACCTCCTTGTGCTGCAAACTCTCGAACTGTTCGCTGCGACTCGTCAATTCCCCGCTCGTGTGCTATCTTGGCTCAGAAGAGTAGCGCTGTATTTCAAACATCTATGGCTTGTCCCCTGCTGGCTTTGGCTGTTTTGGCTGGCTTGCGGTACAGATTCTTGGTTCTACAGCCGAAAACTATGTTCCCGGTCCGGGAAGTAGGCCCGTAGGCTTCCCCTTTCGAAACCAGGCGGAAACTGCAACCGGCCAGCATTGCGGGTTCTAGACTTCACGAGCATGGTCTTGGCACCAGGATTCTACAAAGTCTGTTGTGCAACGACATGCATATCTCAATATATCTTGACAGTCTGGTTCATGCTATCATTCAGCATGATTGCAGTCCCTCGCTGTGGAAGAGTGTTGTGTTGCTCCTGATGGATATGCTTCTGACGTTAGCATGCTCGGCAGTTCGGCAGTGTAACTTACTAATTCGCCTCGGCCCGGCGTCAGAGCTACAGGGAATGCCTGTATCCCCACCCCGTCCCAGTGACCCAGTCCGCCAAGCTGAGGCCCCGCTTCAATGAGGCGGACGACGCGAAGCGTTTAAAACTACTTAACGGCTTCCATTGTTCTGCGTGGCCGGATAGCTAGGGTGCATCTGCCGAGCATCGAGCTCGTGTGATTGTCGCGTCTCAGAGAAACCGCTGCTGCACTAAGCCGTCTCAAAAACTACAGTTATTTTTCCTTAAATTTAAATACCTCAACCAGTAACCTCTTGCTCCCTCCTTGTTGAACCCCGCTGCTCTCCAGACTCGGAAACTGTAAACTGAATTGATGATTACGTCGGAGAAGGTGGGGACAGCGTGGCGCACGGTTCGTGGCATGGAAATTCAATGGCCCGGGCAAGCAAGAAGCTGATCGCAGCTAATTCAACTGAAACCAAACTAAGGTAACTAAGGTAAGGTGCTGAGCAACAGGCTCAGATTGAGGAACCTTGAACATTAAGTCAACGCCAAGTTCTTGCGGTCTGCGTCACGACGGTCCGGTCACCTCAAGCGCAGAACTCGAAGCCATTGCCCACATTTGGCGGTGCAAGGCACTGGGAAAGTTGTTAAGTCCGGAGGTTGACACAGAACTTCGTTTCTTCTGGGGGCTCCAGTGTGCTGTGAAGCTTGCTCCTTTTCTAAATGGGGTCTCTGCTGAGCCAAAACGGAGAGACAGCAGCTGCGCGTTGGAATTCTCAGCATCTATCAGCATTTCGCAGGCGAATGCCACACATCGCCTCGAGTTTTGCCATGTATACCTCAGACAACGGATCCAAACTCTCCGGGTCCATTCATCCGCTCTTGCAAGCCGCGATACATCTCTCCCGAACTCTGCTGCCGTCTCAGCACCTGAGTTCGGGCGGGCTCTCGGCTCTCGAGCCGGTGGCCAAGGGCACAGCAGATCGCGAACGCGAACAGAACACCAAGAGTCCCCTCTACGTCATCTGCCAAGCCGCAAGCAACAAAGCCGAAGCCTCTGCGATCGTTGTATGATTTCACGGCTCCGAGGTAAACCTGCACCAGAAGGCAACAGAGACAAACTGTCCAACCACTCTGCAGAAATTGGCAGATCGACCTTGTCAGAATCAGGCAACCCTGGTACGTCATCAGCCGATGCTTCTGCAGCCATAGCTCGCCTTGCCCAAACATCGGTTCACGCTGTCAGGAACGAATTCCTGCAGCAGATCTTGTGCTTCGAACCGTGCCTGCGGCGCAAGGCACGGCTGTTCGAGTGGTGCTTTGCCCAACTTTTGTGCTTCGAGCCGAGGCAGGGAGGCAAGACAGTCTGAGCAACGCAACGAACTGTGGCCTGCGTAAATTCGATCTTTTCGCATAAGCTTTGGTGACCCTCCCATGCAGCAGGAATCAACATGGTTGTTTTCAGCTTGCATCGTATGGCTCTAGCCTGCCGCTCAGATCATCCAGCGGCAAGGAATCACGGACCACATGCCTTTGCAGGAGTCGGTAGCCGAAGGAGCCAGCATCCTCACCTGATGCCTAAAGCTTTTACAGAGTGGTTCTCGAATCAAGACCAACCGTCTTCCAAACCCCAGCAACATCCAGAAACTGCATTAAAACCAGATTTTTACTTGCTGCCAGAAACATGCTCCCTTCCAACCTGGGCCGACATATTTGTCACCTGCATTCTGTGCAGTTTGTGCACTGTGGATCATTATCTGCTTTCGTCGCCGTAGTCTGGCATGCCTTGCTTTGGCAAAGCCTCCGGCCTGCAACTGTACAATCGTCCATGGAAGCTGAGCGGCTGAGCGTGCTCCGAAGCCCCTTGTGTGCAATTCCGTGCCAGCTCTGTAGCGTTCCTGTGCGAGCTGTCGCTTTGCGATGGCTCCTGAATTGGGACTGAAAACTGTACGAGAGACATGCTCGACCAGAAGACTATGAGCATCAGGTGCGCTGCCCTTGCCAAACACGTCAGAGTCACCCCTAATCACTGGAAATAAACATCATGGAGTAGTCTTCAAACGAAATGGCCGTCTCGACGACGGTGCGTTCGCAGTATCATCTTGAGAGGAAGATGCGCGCAGCATGTCTTGAAACTCTTCGAAGTCCATCTCGCCGTCCCCATTCCTTCTGTAACCGCACAAACACGAGGCCCCATTCACTCTACGCCAAGGCTCAATTTTGTCGATACAAGTAAAGCATGCGGAGGGGAGGTGCTGCTAAGTCCAGCCAAGTTTCTTATCGAACTGAGCAAGGAGATGTTCACATTCTGTCTCATCAAGGTGTGGGGAAGCTCGTGCCAACACTTGTTGTAGCTCAGGTGCAGAAATTTTGCCACTGCTGTCCTTGTCCAGTATGCGGAAAGCTTCCCATATGTACCCCTGCTTCAAATACTGTTGAGGCTTGACGTTTGCTGACAGCCAGTTGCTGTAGTCCATCTCTTGAAAACCACTGGTATCCAAGCTACTGCAGATCCTGTCCGCATCTTTGCCAAGGGCAGATTCTGAAATCGCCTTTCGCAAGGTGTCCAAAGGAATGCTTCCCTCACATCTCGTGTCCAAGCTCTCGAAGGTTTCACGTGGACGCTGCAGATCAGAGTCATCAATGACATGGACGATGGTATTCAAAGCAGCTTTCTTAAGCGGATTCATGACACAGTACTTTCGTAGATTGGTTGCAATTTCATCTGATGTTTCAGTGGCCTCGCTGCGAAACTCCGTGCCGACCTGCTCTCCCCGAAGCCACCAACTTTGCAGCAGAATCTCGTGAGCCGACGGACGCAAGCCATCCGAAACCTCACACATGCGTCTAATGAGATGGATAGCACCAGGTGGTACTGAGTTGCCGAGTTCAGTAGTCGTCGTGTCTGATAGCTGTAAACCTTTCCGCGCCTTCCGCAAAATCACATCGACATCTTCTCCATCGAAAGGGGGCCGTCCGAGAAGCATGTAATGCAGAGTAACGCCGCTGCTCCAAATGTCGCACTTCTCGGAATAACTGCCACTGAACACCTCCGGGGCAACGTACAAAGGCGTGCCGCAAATGGTCTTCAGCCGGCCGCCATCCTCCAACTTCCTTGCAAATCCGAAATCGATGAGCTTGATCGTCACCCTTTCCCCAGTCTCGCGTTCCTTTAAGACGAGGTTCTCTGGCTTGATATCCCGGTGGGCCACATGGCATCGTTGGTGCATGTAGCTCAGTGCACACATCAGTTGTCGAAACACATCTCCTGCCTGACTCTCTGGCAAACAACCTGATTTTTCGATCAGGTGCAGCACATCTCCTCCTTCGCAAAGCTCCATTACGATGTCAATATGTTGCGAATCCTCAAACGTTTCAAAAAGACGCGCAATGTGGGGATGGTCCATGGAAGCCTGCAGCTTCACCTCCTCTTGAAGGAGCTGGATGTCAGCTATTGCGCTTTTCTTTATTTCCTTCATGACACAGACTGCTCCTGTTCTCCTATTGATCAACCGCTTGACAGTACTGAAACCGCCTTTCCCCAGAGTTTTCCTCTTGACTTTGAAAGCTTCCTGCACTCTGCGACCAGGGACGTTGACCAAGATGCACTCCGGGCAGTCGTCCCCAGTGATCGCTGGTGGAGTCCTCCAGAAGGCTAGGCATCCTGCGCAGCACCCACTGAGCCGAGCCATCAAGTACCCGGCAGTGCCCTCGCGGCCTTAAGTGAAAAGCTTCTACAAGACTTGGCAGACTGCCCGTAACCTGCAGGCGCTTGCTACTGCTCCCTGCTAGCTGTCTGAAAACTACTGCATGCTCAGCCAGTGCTGGAGTTTCCCGCGGGCCAAGGATCGAATTCAGTCTGGCTGTCTGGCTGCGTGACTTCTGCACACTGCAACGAGATCCTGGCCACTCACCTTCATCCAAGTGCTCTTCGAGCTCCTGCCAAGGTAGGGCCAGAAGCATCAGCCGGGCCCGAGTTCGGTCTCCAGGTCCTTTCGGGAATACCACGCCCAATCTTTTACCGGCGTTTCTCCGGGCAGCACGAGCCTCACTTCATGTTACGTCTAGGCCTAGCGCCTAGCCTGCACTTGCCGGAGTCTCTGAGACATTCTGAGACCGCTGCTCTGAACCCGGCACCAGGCGAGCTCGGTAGTAGAAGATTTTCCGACCCTCACAGGGTTGCAGGTCAGACCCAAAGCCCAAAGCTGGGCCGGGCCTGGATTCCCGGATACTGCGCACTTCTGCGCTTCCGGTACGTGAAGGGGCACGCTCCAACCTTTGAGCTTGGGCGCTTCCCGAGAGGCATGGCCACTTGATGGTTTCGAGAGTGCCGCCAAGTACGGAGTGAAGTCGTGACCCAGCTGGTGCTCTGCCAGCGCTAGCCTAGCATGGCAGTTCGACGATCGTTGTAATGTGCACCAAGCATCGCTGAACCTCCTCAGGCATATAAGCAGCAGACAGAGTTTCCCGCATGGACTGCCCATGCAGCCGATCTGCCTTGTAACACGGCCATGTGTTACGAGCATTAGCAGCGGTCTGTGACAGAGCCTTCGGGAAGGTCCATTTGCTGGCAGCGCCATATCGAACCAGCAGGAACCTCAAACCAGAAAATACCAGAAATCAAAGATAAAGATTGGCCTACTAGGACCACTGGGAACCGCTACATACCATGTGCTACAAGGGTGGATCGCAAGGAAGGATGCATGAAAGGAGACACAGTGAGACACGCCGATTCACAGGAAGAGTGACGTCAGTACCAAGTCGACACCGAAGGTCTAGTGCTCTGCACAGAAACCTGTAACCCGCCAAGGCCATGTTCTGGAGAAATTTTTAGCAGCCAGGAACCACATGCTGTGCGATGCTGTGCGTGCACAGATGTACGAGGACTCACTCCGAAACAACCGCAGCTCTGGGAACCGAGGAGACCTATGTCCCGTGAGCCCAACACGGGACCAAAAGACACGAAACTCGAGCACTAGCAATATACACTTCGGCTCCAGGGTTCGTGCAGCGACTTGTCAACCAACCGCCTGGCTGGCGCAGAGCGCTCACGGTTCCAAGTTTCGCACCCGTCTCGCGTGTTCTGCTGCACTTGGCTTCCGCCGCTTGCGCCTTTGTGACTTGACATCCATGTCATCGACCTTGCAATTCATCGCGAGTGTATGACCTCTAAAAATGCGGGGGAAAGCCTCTTTTCCTGTTTTCCATACGCACATGCTACCTGACTAAACTCCTGATTGGCACTGCACCGATGCAGACTGTACCAATCAAGCACTGTCGAATGGAAACTGCATGGAAGCACCACGCGAATGCCAATGTAAGCACAACCACTGCGGAACCCTTCAACACCGCGAGGATCAGACTGTCTCCACCTTCTTGCGCTCCACCTAGCGAGTTTCAGCCAGGCTTTAACACGTGCAGTTTTCCTTGTGTGCCTTTCTTCGCTGCGATGTCTTGCGCCCGAGCTCTGGGAAAGTCAAATCCACCCCCTCGGCATCCAGCAGTTACGCTTACGCGGTGCAAAAACTTGAAGGAGCGGTGCAGGCGGTGTTGGACACGCCTCTTCTCCGAGGAGCGACTCCAAACCTGTCTTTGTGGCCTCGGAGCGCCAAAACATTTCTGTCGCACATGCTCCACCACAAGCTGGCACTTCTGAGACAGGGTCTTTGGGAACCATGGCTGCAACCAGGCTTTCTGTGCTCACCGCACCAGATGACACCCTGGAGGTACCGGAACCTGTGCCACAAATAATGCGAAACGATCACGCTCTCGGCCAGCACACACTGAGCCGAAATAGTTCGTGAGATGCATCAAATAGCTTTGTGTGCTTTTTCTCTCTCTCTCTTGCTTGCTTGC